GTCTGTCCGTCTGTCCGTTAGTAAAGCTAGGCCCGTTCCAAAATGTAGTTTCGAATTGAGAAGAATGAGCAAGAAACTCCATTCGTTACTCTCTTCATCTAATTGTGTTAATATTCTCATTTTTATATACTTACCGTGTAGCTTTATTTAAGTTTTATTTTGCCTGGTTTGTAAAAATACTCCTGAATATACTCTGAATCTTTCTTAATTTAGAGTGAATTATTCAACTTAAAATATAGTTAAAAAATCCAGATTATAACAATGATCCTTCTTAACTAGGAAGACAGGTACAAAATACAGTTCATAGCCATGTTATACAATGGAAACAACTATAAATCTTGACCAAATCGGGACATATAAGGTGCCCTCACACCCGTCTTTGTGAAATGGGAACCCCTATGGAAGACATAAGCAACAAGATAAATACAACTCACAGCATCAAACATCACTTCTCTTTGTTGCTGGATCTTGTAAAGCACATCGTATAAAGTATACAAAAATGAACCTTAAGACAATGTATTTAATTAAGAACAAGAAAACAAGGAAATGGAGACTTATCTGATGGTAATCCTTACACTGGCTTTTCCTTTAAATGATTTCCTTAAGTTGTAAGTCCGAACAAAGGAGTAAAGTTAATCAGGTTACACAATAATCATGACGTAATTAGTTGATTCACTGTGTTTAATACAAAAAGTTGTTTACTTCTTGTATTGATTAGCTTGTTCCGAGATTATGAATTTTACAGAGGTGGTAGCTTAAATCTAAACTCCTGGCCTGTACTGTTTGATGGCGAGAAGTGCTCATTAAACATAAGCAATTAAATTATATTATATGTAGGTGCAATGATATACTGCCCCTTTTTTTTAAAGTATTATATTATAAGTAGTTAAAAAGTAAGTAATTTTGTTGGCAACTGTAACAAAGTTTTGACCTTTAGCACAAATATAAAATAGAGTTATGATATCATGTTCCTCGAAACGGCTAACAGGCTTAGAAAAACCGTTGTAGGCAAAAACGGAGCTGCTTATATTAAATTCTCGCCTTAGTACAGGCAATATGCAGTACCAAGCTCCTAGATTAAGAATAATATATCATTTTTATGGTCCGCTTGTAATGCCTTCCTGCTCTTAGATACATGTGGTTATTTAACAAGAAACGCGGTTACTATGGAAAAATGACCGTCCACTTTTCATTGCTATACTCATCTTATACTTACTCACAAATGTGTTATAATATTAGCATTTATAGTTTGTATTAAAGATCTAACTTTGCCAAGATTTAAGTCTCTTTCTAAAAACCCTTCTTAATAGTTTGAGATCATTCATAGCTTGCATATGGTTTCAAATGTGAAATTAATAGCGCCATCTATTTTAAATTATAAAGACAATTGTTTATTTGATACTATTATACTAATATGTTATACATTAATATTTTTGTTTGTCATTGAAAGAATCGTAGCAATTGGCATTCCATAGTCTTTGCCTGCCCCCTTAGGAGATCGGCATAAGGCTATGTATATACCTATATATTATGCAAATTAAGTACGTTATACATACTTATTAATAAAATGAGTTATCAATTGTAAAGCTGTATGAGTGTATGTGATTAGATTGACTTTTAAAGGTCATCATCTGTATGCAAAAAATAATATGAGGAGTTTGTTTGCCAGAAATATGTATAAACCAAAATCGATATAAAACCCTTGCAAAATATAGCTCAATGTGTTAATATTCAGTCGAACTTAGTTAAGAATAAAAAGTGAATAGAAAAAATCTGGCAGTACAGAAAAGGAAAACATTGACATCGACAATAAAATTGAATTGTCTGTGGCTAAATACAGTCAGTACGAGAATATGTGACAGTCTTTTGTCTGGATTTTGCTCTGAAATTGAGTATTCAGACTTTTATTTAAAGTGCTTCGAACATAAGTGCTTCTCAAACCTAATATTACGCATAATTTATCATTTTTATTATGGCAGTCTTTGAAAATGTCATGTATTTTGATATTTGACCTCCTTAGTTCTTTGTTAGACCTCAATATAAGTGACGTATACGTATATCATGAATTATGTACTTAAAGTTTTACGATTCTGCGGTAATCTAGTTAGTTTTTATGGTTATTAGGCTACAGCTAGTATTGGATAGCTCGATTTTTTCATAGTACTGTGTTGTTAAAAATGATTTTTATTACTTCTGTTGTGTTATTCCTTTATTGGAAGATGAGTTAGTAAATATTTATTTATGAACTAGTTCAGTCCGATTTTATGGTTAGTTTAACCATGAAATATAATGATAGAACAAAATAAAGAAAACAAACTTCAATGTCTTCAGTTCAATTCTTTGTTGTACTTATATACAATTCTTTTTCGTGAAACAATTGGAATTATGAAGCGTTTTAATGTACTAATGTGTGTTTTAGTATTTTCTCTCTCAATGGTTGGTTTTCTCTCAATTAAAATGTCTTGAAAGTTTAATATTGGCTTATCACTGAAATTGAATATGTACCAAGAAAACGCACAAACTAAACGAATTCCCCATTTATCCCTCTTGTGAAGTTGATACAATTAAAATTGTTTGCTACGGTTTTTCGTAGCCCGTAGCAAAGTGCTACGAACTTTTTGTTTTATGCGTTATTTATCAGGAAAAACAAATTAGTACTAAAACACGAAGCTTTAAACCTAATTTATTTTTCCAAATAAATTTTCAGTCGGTCCAGATGTACTGGAGCGGAACTTATGTCCCCCAAGAGAAAATGTGGAGTATTTATGATTTAGACATGGAGAGCAATTGTACAAAAGTTCTCCTTTTTGTTTTGAGAATTTTGCTACAGTTATTTATTTATGACATTGTTTAAAATTTATATTAATCAGCTTTTGTATCTAATGATGTTTATCTGGAATTAGTAATATTAATTGAATGACAATTCAAACTGTTTTATAGTGAAATTAAATTGTCATTACTTTATAAAGTTATTCTTTGTTTTGAATTGTAATCGATCAGATATCAATTAAATGTAAAATGTAACAGTTTTTAATCAGGGTAATTTTTTTAATACGAAGCAATATTTGTTTTCATATAATGTCATATTTTCATACTTATTCTTAAAAATAGTAGGTAGTTTGAACAAAAAAACTCAGTTGTTTTGTCTTTGCTTGTTAGAACCAACCTGTTTGAAACACTTGCCTCACGCACTATTATAATAACTCAATACAGTATCGCCATATATATATATTTACATCCCGCAATCGATTGGACGTCCCATGAAGGCAAAAGTGCATTTAATCTGGCGTCCACCTGCTTTTGGCGTCCGCATACCGGACGCCACTTTTTTGGTCTATGCTACTTAGGTCCTTTTGGTCCTGGCTACACGTAGGTTAAAAATCGATAGACCCCAAAAGATCGGTTCAATGGCTGTTATAGTATTTTGAAAAGTTCCCAAAGAAATCTCAGCGCGGCTAGAGCGCTGCTGTAGCGCGTATATCCACAGCTGTATATTTTTGCGATTTTCTGACTATAATTCCGCCTATTTGGCGTCCTCAAAAAAAAAACAGCGACGTTGCCAGTTCGCTCATTAAATCTGTCTCAATAGATCATAATATTATCTACCGCATTCGAAACAATATTCACCGTCGTAGATTCGGATGTGTTGCGTATTATTTGGAGTCCGATTTTATTCAATTAGATTTATTTACATTTTAATACATGTCAGTGCAACTTACGACAACTTATCTGCAATCCTGTTCTGATATAGTCAATGAGTACCTATCACTGATATATAACAAATGAGGGTATAAATTAACTACTTAATGGGATCTTAGAAATAAGTACTAAAGTGACAAAATTATATGTCTTACCACAAATAAAGATTAACCAGAGTATAACTCGTATAGTATAGTTTCCGTATAAATTTTGACGTAATTTTATTAACTTTATCTATTTTTGTGGTTAGAAGGTGCATATAACACTGAATAATTAATGAATGTTGTATAGTATTACTGATAAAATCAATCAACGTTTGTCTTTTTATTCTTTTCATCGGCGTGTTATTAAGATTCAATTAGGAATTATAAATGTTTTTAACCGACTTCAAAAAAAGGAGGAAGTTCTCAATTCGACCATATATATGCTTTTTTAATTATAAAACATAAACACTTGAATAAAAGTGATATCCATATTAAACATAACATCACGCCTTTTATCCCCGAAGGGGTAAGCAGAGGTGCACATTAAGGCACTTAATGCCACTGTACAATGTAACACCCACTTTCACTATGTATGTTATGAGTCCCATGTAATAGGGGGTGAGCCTATTGCCATATACCGGGCACATTTCCAGACTCCGTGCTACTACTGAGATTTGTAGAAACCCAGTAATACTTTTCCCGACGATTTCTAAAACGATATCAATCTCATTTATAAGTAGTCTATAAGAGATATGTGCATTTCACACCGTTGCTTATCTCCGGGCATTAATAGGTGTTCAGTATTTTTGCACTGTATTGACGCAAATATCACCGATATCGATAGTGATAGATAAACATTATGCGGCCAATGTTGTATTGATTGCAGCGGTACAGTAGAATTGTCATATTACATATTATCTTGATTGGTGCGAAGGGTCGCGAGGGAAAGGAACGATGGGTGCGGCTGATGGCACTTGGTAACAAGTTTTATTTACCTACTTATAATTTTTAATTATACGTTTTAAATCGCCAAACCCGCACTGAGCAAGCGTGGTGATTAATGCTCAAACCTTCTCCGTGTGAGAAGAGGCTTTATTCAGCCATTCCTATAGCATTTATAGGCTGTTGATGGTGAACAAGTTTTTGGTAAAAGTGCACATTTGTTATCAAGCGATCTGAATCAATATTTTTTCGAGATTGCGTGATCACGTAACGTAGGTTCGTTGTTTTGTGATTGGCTAACTGGCAGATAGCGGTGCAACGTCATTCCTTGTACCATTTTTGCTGTCAATCTCACTTAACAGATAGCATGAAAGGGATTGCCAGAAACATTATCAGTCTATTTATAATATTTACAACGTTCAGTCGTCGTCCGTTTAACTAGAACTCCAACTTTACATATTGTTCATACAATGTCGAGACAATGTGCAAAACCGATTGAAACGCTCGTATTTTTCGATTTGGAGACAACCAATCTGATAAACGAAAAAAATGATTATCCAGGCATCGTTGAATTGAGTATGGTGGCGGTGAACCGAGCACATTTTCTCAACGCAACACCGGAAGAGCTGCCGCGAGTGCAACATAAATTATTATCGTGTTTCAACCCAGAAATGGAGATGACTGAAAAAAGTGTGAAGCTATCAAACCTGACGAATGCACTGCTGGAGCAGCAAGCGCCTTTCGACAAGAACACCTGCGAAATGATTATGGCATTCATCAAGTGCCTGCCGGAACCTGTCTGCCTGGTCGCGCACAATGGGTTTGGATTCCATTACCCTGTTTTACTATATCGTATGAAATTAAATGAAGCTGATGTTAACCCGACGCTGATGTGTACCGACAGTCTTTTTGCATTGTATGATCTTTACGGTATCGGTTATGATATCGATAACGAACCAATTGGTAAAACTAAATCTTACTTTGAATTAAAAAGACCGATATTTTATGGCTTAAATGAGAAACCATCTAAGTCCGAATTTAAGTTGGACGAAATATATGAAAGAGAAGTAAAAGTGAATATTACAGATTGTAGTAGAAGTCAGAGTCAAAGCCTCAAAATACTGAAGATAGCGTTAAAAAAAGCGGAAAAATTTGTTGATTGGGTCGATCGAAATCATTGTAAATTATCTGAAGTTCCTTTCGCCATCTGAAATTCCTATTGTGCTTAAGATGCAACTGAATGTAAAATATTATTCAGCCTCCTATAAAAATATAAATTGAATTATCTGCATACAAGATTGTACATACTTTTAACATGATTTTATTACTATAAAGGTCTAATATAGTCAGGACAAATTTTTATATTTATATTGGTTCCTGTTCCATCTGAATTTATTTGATGACTTTTGTTTATCTTTTAACCTCAAACTTAAAATTATCCAGACTGTATTATTAATTATCCCTAAGGTTATTTTCTTTTTCGATTTATTTGATTGGATTTACATTGTTCGCGCACATCGGTCTACTTGAAATAAATGATTTTGACTTTGACTATGAAAAAGTACGTTACTATATTAATGTTTAATAATAAGTGACGAAGATAACCAATTCTATTTTTTCAATACCTGAGTATAAAGTTTACAATGTTCGAGGTAACCACGGAACTCCCAGGTTAAACAACAACAGGTTAACCACCCCACATTATAATAAGATTATGTTCTTAGTTGTCAGTCTACGAGTATTTATTAATATTATCTACTACTCTTACATTGTTTACATGTTTGCTTATTTATTGGATATGAAACCACTTATTTGAAAATAAATTATTTGTAATAAAAATAGATAAGATTAATGTTTTATTTACAAACCTATTTACTTCTTTTGTACTCTGATTTTATTTTACAGAAAATAGAAAAGAACATACAAAATAGGGATTTTTTTTAAGGGGGGACAATCATCGAATGACTGCTTCCGCCTGGGTGAGGCGGAAGGGAGTGTCAGACTCTTACTGACTAAAAACCACCCCGTTCCTTCTTCTGCACGTCGAGCCTGAGCCCCGGTTACCCGTTAGGTTCTCCGCGACTCCGAATCGGCATCGGCCCTATTGGGCCCCATCTGTGGTGGTCTGATGGCTCTTTGAGGCGCGCGCGGAACGTGACGTGCCGTACGTTCGGGTCTGTTTCTGGTCGGAAAGGGAGCCACCCATGCTCGCCGTCCGCAGGCCCGCGCTTACGGCGGCCGGAGATCGTCCCGCGATCCCCGACGCCCGGTGTGTCCTTCGCGATGGCTGGGTTGCGCGGAGGCGGCGCTCGCTGCCTCGCGCGTATTAAAAAAACCCATAGCAGCGCCATCTATTGATTACTTACTCAACCCATTCGAAAGGTATCGACATGTGTTAGAATCATTTAGAGTTTACAGATAATTGTGACTCAAATAATAACAGACAAATAATTAGCAATAAATTAAAACTGCGACTATAATTTGATATTTAAACTATCCTATCTCTCAAGTTGGATCGAACTACACATGGTGTGCGAATTTTATTATAATCGGTTAAGTGGTTTAGGAGTCCATTGAGGACAAACATTGTGACAGGAGATTTATATATATTAAGATATGTATGAATCGTATCAGTTCATTTGTTCGCGGGAAATAATGACTATCCTCTCAAATAGGTATGTAATTTTTGGAACTCTGCCATTGGCTGCGGTCTGTATATTTAATGTTTATTACCACTGTTTCATATCAGATGTACCGTTTCCTGGTAAAACAAAATGGAAATAATTAATAGTTTTGATGTTGACTTGTTGTTTAATGTGAGTGTTTACGAATTAAGGAAATTCAGATATAATATACCAATGTTTAAACTCACTTAGAACTAAAAACAATATGAAATCTCACCTCAAACAAAAGAATAAAACATAAACTGTTAGATCAATGTGTAGTAAGTGTATATAAAAGTCAGCTTATAAATTAAGTGTTTAAAAATAATTTCATAATCAACCAGCATTCTCAAATAATATTTCATTTTCGATTTACGTCACGGCAGCTAAAGTAGGTCAAAAAACGAAAGCACAAAAAGGAGATCTACTTAAAGCAACGTAATAAGCAAGACGCGGTTATCTGCCACCCAACATTGCAAAAAATATATAGAAAAATACTGTGCAGTGTACTTTTATGCGGTTGAAAATTAAAAACATGCTATGTTTTAGTCGTGTAGTGTACCTAATAGGATTATATTACACAAATACTCGTGAGACTAAGTTGATATTGAGTAAAATATGTTTGTGCTAGAATTAAATTGCATTTCACAGTTTTTTTCAGTGTTTGTAAAGTATGAAATTACTTTTCAATATATTTTCATTTATGTTTAAAGCTGACATGGACGTATTAAGTTAATAATTTTATCTTAAATACAATTGAGTACAATATAAATTGGAGTCATCGATTTAAATTCAAGGTAAAGAGAGTTTTAAATTCAAGGCTGATTGCAAAATTACGCTTTTTGAATTTCAATAGGTTCTATCACTATTAAGTAAAGTGAAATATTACTTATCATAAGTACTGATTTAGTATTCTGTTTAAGTAATGAAACGCTACTTTTACTAGAAATCAGTACGATTTTTATGAAAAAAATCTGTAACTGATATTAGACGTGTTTAAATGGCAGTTTGTCTTACACAATTGTAAGCCCACACTTCCAAAGAAAATTAAATTTAATAATTACATGATTCCAAACTATTATAGCACCATGTATGTAAATTGAGCCCACAGTTTGAATTAAAACAGGGTAGTTAAAGTTGTACTGTCTGCGGATACCCACAAACCATGTTCGTATAATTTGCATATCTACTAGAAGCAGTATTATATTTACACTACTAAATATGGTGTACATTATAGACAAGGCCATATAACCACATAATGGTATATTTGTTTGAATATTGCGTGTACAGCACTACCAAAAACTTATTTACGTGTATTCCATTCGATACACATATAAAAACATTTACATGATTCAGTTGATGCTTTACATAAACTGAATAATACAATACCGACGTCAAAGATTTTCATGAAAAGGAACCCAAAATAAACTCCACAGCAATTCATTAAGCTATTCATTAAACCAATGATGACGACCTACAACCTGAAAGTGCTCGACATCACAAAAAGCTTGAACAAACACTGGAAAGTGCTAGAAATCTGAACAATCTGTTGTAAAAAGTTAAATAAAATGGCGGAATGGTCCGGTAAAGTTCCCTTCTCAGGTATGCTTCACGGAAATGTCTGGAGTTTTTAATTTATAAGGTTCCCAATGGTACCAACGTGACCGTTTTATTAAGCCTACGTTGGTCCGTGTAGTGTCGTATATTGCAAGAGCATAAAATACTGAAATCGCTAGTGTGACTTCAGAATACGTGTTGTTTGATTGGTCAGTAACATTTATTTGCATTACGTTTGGCCAATCAAAAATTGACTAGCGTAAAACTTAAATATTAGAATTTGGTTTATTTATTTTGAATGAGGAACAATTTATGCTATTGTATTACAAAAAATAACCTGATTCAAATCTAACAGGCCCAACGCTGTATCAATAAAATTCTACTTAAACTCCGATCCCTTCGCATTTACACAATCGATTTTAGATCAAAAATGTGTTATTTTTATTCGTGGTCATTAGCCCTCTCGCTCAATGTTCATGTCATTGATGGTCCTTGTTACATTGTCCGTTATTATATACGATGTCATTTATCATTGCCACTTGACATCGAGTGTTGTATGATTTCTAGGTGAAAACTTCAATACAATTAATAACACCATCTATTTTTCATAACAGAAATGTACTGTGATTGATTAAAATTTTGTTGAGCCTAGGTAAATAGTTAGGCTTTACATGTGTAACTTTAGCTTTACATAGGCGTACGTTTTGACTCATTTTCTAAATGGATAAAGCAACTAGGACGTGGCTGGAATATTTTTTGTGAAAAATCAATTTAGTCTAATCATTTTCCCGGTAAACTGTGTATGTATGTACAATTTAATTTATTATCCTATCGAACATACATGTAGTACATGTCTGTGATTGACTCCATAAAAATAACCCATCTGGTAGTTCAGTCTGATATTTAGGTTTATAACAGAAAATCTGTAACAATTATTTTTTTTGTTAAAGAGCTTAACTTTTCACATAGCGACAAAAAAAAATCAATTAACATAATGTTGAATTATTTTATGGAATAGAATAGAAGAAAGTAAAATAATATTGTAATGATTAAATATTATAATGAATAGTTCGTTAAAATTTAGAGCCCTATTAGTCATCTTCATTACTTTATTCTCGTAAACCAAATCGGATTCACAAAACCTATTAAAATAGAGTTTTAAACTTCAAAGAAAATTCAAAACCAATAATAATCATATTAAAACTTCTATGTAACTTAATTTGTATTGCTTAAGTCTAAATATTTTCTCAATTAATGCTTTCTTTGAAATAATGTTAAGATTTACCGAAATCTGTTTTAATTACTGAGTCTAGACTAAGTGGCAGTAATTGTATCTACGAGGCGCTAAGACTCTTTCGTATTGCTATCTCGAAGTTTTAATGTTGTTTTCCTTATAGACATTGTCAATGGCAGGCTAGCGAATAAAAATAGTGTTGCTTAATATAATCAACTTGTATTTCCATGCTATTCACTTTTATTTATGTAAAGCTATTTTGTGGGTTAATCACTTTATTTGTTTATAGTTTGAATACTGATCCAATGCAATGGTACTTAGGCGTATTTATATAATAATTAATTGAAATAAATTTTCGTAATTATTCAATTGACTAATAAATTATACGGTACTGCATATCGCATGACCAGCTCAACCACTTTTTACAGCTTTCAACTTGAAATAAGATTTTCAAATCAAATAATCCACACCACAAAATCAATAACACAGCAACATTACAGACAATATTCACGCCCTGAGAACTCAGTTTAAAGGACGCTCAAACCTTACAGCGGCTTATCCAATAAATGCCAATTCACCTTGCGTTGGAAATAATTCTAGCGTTCTAACCACAACGAATTCCCCTCGTGAGCAGTCGTTTAATGAATGATAAGGCAAACTGTTTTGTACGATGAAATGGAATATCGGGAATGTGAGAATGAAATCCGGGTCCGTGGGTTGAAATCTTGCTTTACTGAGAGTTATGTAGGTAATCATTATTATTATTTAACACAACATGAAGCACTTTTCTCTATATTTTGTAAGTGAAACTGGTTACTTGGTACGAGACTATAAGTATTATGCTAGCTAGCTATTTACATTATTTTACATACTTTAAAAAAGTTGTTTGAAGTCTTTGTAAGATTTTTATTTTCAAAATTTGAAATAAGATCAACCAACACAGTATTTATATTGTCATAATACTGGCAGAAGACTTTATACGCCTTTTTTATTTTGGAATAGGAGGCAAACGAGCAGGCGGATCACCATCAGGTGATCAGCATGCTGGTAAGCGATCAGTGCCGCCCACGGACACCCGCAACACCAGAGGAGTCACAGGTGCGTTGCCGGCCTTTTAAAAAGCAATATGCTTTTTTCTTGAAGGTTTAGGTACGTTTTGTTAATAAATAAAAAGCGTATCTACACTCAGTGACTGCAATTATACATTTCTTCCTATTCAGTGCTAAGAATCTAATATAATTTTATACATCTCAAAAATTAAACACAATGGTATCTGATAAATAGTTAAACCACCTGACTGTCTCAGTACTAAGCTCTTTACATAAGTCCCACACCTTCTGCATTTCATTAAGACGTCAGTTCTAGTTATAACAAACGTCAATAGTTACCGTTGCAAACAGTTTCAAGTCTCAATATATCGGTTAACTAACAGTTAGGCTTTATCATCGAACGGCTGCAGAAACCATACAACTATTGTCTTGAAAATAAACAATAACGTTTAGCTTCAGTTGGTTATAACTATAGCCGAGACTTTAACCTAGTTGGGAAAAGGCCAATAGGATAAGATTAAAACTGCCTCTCTGACCGCTAGTAAGAAATTCTAGGTTCGATGTTTATAGAACTCACAATGTTATTGGACTTATAAAATTATTAAAAAACATATTTTCATGTTCGTATAAAAGTTGTATAACATGCTTCGGCTCGAATGGGCCGGCTCGACCGGAGTGATACCACGGTCTCACAGGAAACCGACGTAAAGCAACGCTTGCGTTGTGTTTCGTCGTGTGAGTGAGGTTACCGGAGGCCCAATTACCCTCCCCTTCCCGAATCTCCCCAATTCCTGAATCCCTAACCATCCTCAAACTCCTAATTCCCAAAAGGCCGGTAACGCACTTGCAACGTCTCTGGTGTTCCAGGTGTCCATGGGTGACGGTGATCCGTCTTTTCGTTTTCCGGCTTATGCCATAAAAAAAAAACAAATTAATCAATTGATTACACTGAACATCTAATATTCTTCAGAAATCACGTTGACAATTTATTAACTTTGGTAGGCAATAAATAGTAGGCTGATGAATCAATATTTTAATTTACCTCTAGTAATAGTGTGGTAAAATCTAGAACCTAGATCCAATTTTATTAAAAACCACGTAAATCTAACATATTTCATCTAAATTGGCCGTTATAGCAATTTTAAGTCTGATAAACAGTCAGCTCAATTAATACCTAGAGAGCACTAGATTAGCCTAAGCGTTGGATATGAAAAGGTATTAAAGTTAAGATAAATAGGCAATGTTTAGCACGTAGTTTAATTTATTAATATATACTAAAATGCCCTTGTTTACTAGAGGATGTGAAGTAAGAGATAATACGTCACTAACATAGAAACCTGAACTCATCACATTGAAATAAGGTTGTAATATGAGCATTGATTTGGTATTTTTACATGGTAGCCTTAAACTAAATTTTATTAACAAATTGATTTCATGAATTCGCTTTAGCTTAGATTGTAATATACTCAAAAAGACGAAAGACACTAAGTACCTTCTGCAAGTAACATATTTAGGTAAAATATAAACAAGTCCCAAGCATTTTGTGGCTAAGTTTTAGATACCAAAAAGTTGGAACCTAATATAGGCCCTCACGCATAAGTTATAAATGTTCTCTGGAAGTAAGTATTGAATAAAACAGAGCACTTACACAACTAGGACGAGAATATAAAGTTTCCGAACTTTACTATTTTGTGGGAAGTTTCGTAAAAGTCAAGCGTTAGCGATAGTGTTTTATACTGTGTTGGATTACCGGTAATGGCTCTATTGTATTTTTGGTAAGAAATTTCGTGGTAAGTATCGTGTTATTGTGTCGATATAATGATTGTAATGGTAGTAGTATCTTAGCCCTACAAGTACTGTACTAAACAACAAATTATTGTTACTACTGATAGATTTGTATACTATACTTTTGATAAGAAATTTCGTGGTAAGTATCGTGTGATTGTGTCGATATTAAAAATGTATTGGTGTTAGTATCTTAAGCCTAGTACTCTATTCTACAAGATAACAAATTATTGTTACTACTGATGGATTTGTAAATTGTCTCATACTCCAGTAATAGTGATTCAGTGGTTCATCAAAGAATCATCCTGTAACATTATAATATTACCAGGAACTAACACTGCGTAGATGCCCGAGTGGTCGCAGGTGCGACTGCCAGATGAGGGGTTTAGGTTTCGATTCCCAAGTCGTAAAAAATATTACTGCGTTTTTAAAAAAAAATCTCAGTAATAACACGGAGTCTAGAAATGTGCCCGGTATATAAGTAACAAACATACTTTTTAAAATCTGTCAATTCTTCAGAAGTACGAAGCTGTAATATTTTCATCGCCTAATGGCAAACATCTCTGAATAACTTTTATTGGCATGAAAGATGAATACGTCCCACATCATCGAATCAAATAAACAGAAAGTAAATCCAAAAAAATACTTCCTTTTATAACTCTTTGTTTTGTAAATGTCACTTCATGAAATAAACATATATTTCAGGTGACAAAAAAGGCTTCAGGGGCGTTAACAATTTTGTAACAAAGTTTTAAATCCACGGCAGACTTGTCTCACTGCCATACTGAAAGCGGATCTTGGCAGTAAAGCCTTGCTAACAACACTTTGTTAAAAGAATTTTCATATTTTTACGTAGGATTTTTCGTAAAAGTTTACTATGTTGCTATTTTTTGGCAGAATAATCTTTTGTTTATTTAAACCGCATATACTTTACTCATGAAAACGGGTGCAATCGGCTCGTATTTTAAAATAATGTCTTTAAAATATCTGTATACTACACATACCTAAAATCGAAAAAAAATCGGTCTTGTTGGCCGGGACACCCTACTATGTAGGTTATATTTTTTACACAATAAAGTAGCAAGTTATTCTTTTGCTACTATGGCCACGATACTTTTTAATAATATTAGACTAGAAACGATGCATGTATCAAATGGACTGAATAGACAGATGATAGAAAATATAAAACTAAATATTTGCCCAACTTCAAAAGGAACCTAAAACCAAAATGACCTTTAATTCTAATTCCAATGAACCAATAACATCAACCAACAAAATATTCTTTTGAGCAATCGTTTTATGAGCTAAATTAGTTTCAATTGGAGTTACCGATGTAAAACGTAAGATTACTGTTTTAATCCTCAATGAAAAGATTCCACCATTTCCAATTTCGACTTTAACAAGATCATCTTCCAATCAAAGAGTCGCACGCGGAGTTATATCAGCTGGTTTTCCAAACAAAATAACTTAATCTCAACTCGGATACAAAACATGGAATTAGGTATTATGCAAATGAATGAAATAAAGGTCCTTTGACACCCTTAAATGTTAAAATGTAAAAGTTTTTTAAGTATATTTGTAGGGAGCAAAGAATATATATTAAATAAAATAATGACCATTTGCCTCTATACTTAAAAAGTAAAGAACAATAAATGGTAGTAATCTTACCCCAGCCACGACTATTATTTTTGGTTTCTGGTTACCAGAACTTTAATTACAGCTTTTGCCAGTAATATTCCGTAAAAGGAATAATTTTTGATGAACCACCAAAACATGGTTCAATAAAGTCAAGGTCGTTTCAACCCTTCTGTTTACATTAAAAGAAATCAACCGTATTCCAATGCAATTTGGTTAAAAAAGATTAATATACTTTCATTTTATTTTATTCATAGTAAGAATGACCCAACCAAATTGTAATAAGACCTCAAATACTCTTGAACTGTCATCCACGTACGTTCAACGCACATTTGATTACCATCACACGTAAAGGCCATTTTAAACTCTGTTTGATTGATTTATTGAACACATTTATTTTGTTTCAATTTATTTTCAATCAGGGTAGCCACACGAGGTAATGTCACTTCAAGGTCACACATGAATAACTTAGTAGGGGCAACACGTATTCCCAGTGTTCCTCAGTAAAATAGCGCAGCAGTGGTTTATGTAAATGAGGCACTAAAATGCGTAAAAGACGATGGCAAAAATAGGAAAGAAAACTCTCTGCAATATATTTTTAAGACTCAAAATCTAGATCTAAAATATATTTTCTCAAGCTCATGCTATCGTACATTATTTATAAGCTAAGGTCCACATTTCCTAAATGGAACGCTTATGGCGCACTTAAGAAGAAATAGTTGAAGCGAAGAAATATTGAACGGGATAGAATTTTTTATATTATTATTAGTATGGCACGTAAAACATAAATTGATTGACTAGAAGACTCCATAAGGTCGTATGAAAGAGTATATTATGTATAAGCTAAAAAGGCAGTCCTATAATAAATTCGGTGTGCTTATTTGAGATAACTAACCGCAACTAGATATTGATGTACCCAGACTTACTCAGTCAATTTATTTTATAGGAAAATAGCGTGGTCCGAGTGGTCTGAATATCAAAAATTATTTCATGAGTCTTCCCATGAGAAACTATAATATAAAAAAATGGAAACTATTTCATTGACAACCAACGTCCCTTAGTTAAAAGCGTTTAGTAATTACTAAAATGACGACCCAAATGGACAACATTTTTCAATCTAGAGCGCATCTACTCTAATGTCTTATTGGCTTGCTGGCTCCCATTAGGATTTTTCTACGCTCAAAGCTTTTCCATGAAAAGGGGAAAATGATTTTCGCATCTGACGAAAGCTATTTCACTTTGATACCACTTTGATAGTTATGAGCAGCCATAGCAGATGCAATCTGATTTTTACGATAGTTTCTTGTTTTGTAAGACTAGAATAATTCCATGCGTGTGTATGTATGTAGTTGGAAAAAATTCGTAGATAAATTGGTTTCATATTGTTTTAAAGAATAATTTTTAGTTTTATTCATTTAGATTATTGTTATTTTTAAATACTATATTCGTATGTTGATTATAATTAATACGGTATATTTTTAATAAATTAATTAAAACTAAGGAGTTAAATTGAAATCGAAAATAAAAGTAACTAAATAAAATTATCCATTGATTTATACTCATTTACATTTTAAGCCTTATGGCCTAGATAAGTAAAAGGCAAGCTAAGCTTACACCCTAATTAATTATAAAATATTAATAAATTAAATATGTCCATCTTTAAACTAATAGTACGTATTATACAGACGTAATACGAAAAAATAATTTATATCCCCCCAATACTGAAATTGTCCAAATCAATTAAAAAAATCGACTTCAAAAACACCCTTATTAACTCCACTAAATAAAAAACTATACAATAAAAAGTACTTACATTTTTCATTTAAATACATAAGTCCGTTTTGGTACCAGGCGACTATAACATTCGAAGAGCACTACCACGTTAATTCACTGCACTCCACACGACAATGTTCGGTCGAACGAGGCGAATTCGAATTATAATAGGGGTGTATATCTACCGCGGAACGATGTTACCTCGGCAAGAGGCTGCGTGGTACTGAATAAGGAGCGAACGGGAGCGCACTGACGTATACGTCACATCGGACCGCGGATGGCATACACTGCGTACAACTTGAACTTGTAATTGGTAACAGTAGAAGACTACCAGTGAAATCCTTTCGGTTTGTATAATGAGTCTTGAAATGTTTTCTGGAAAGTTATTCTTTTGGTTCATGGAATTGTTGAATTATATTTTTTCGAAGTCGCGTTTTCTTATGTTGGTTATTACAAACAACTGTTTCGTTTATTACATTTATTTAATGGTATATTCTTAGTATAATCTATACTTACTTAAATTTTAGTATATTGTGACATTATGAAAGTAATCGTTTCGTTAGACTGTGATGTGAAAGTTTCGAAACTAATCCGTGCAGCGATAAATACAAAACAATGTTTAAGATTAGTACCTGGTACTTACTAGAAAAATATTTAAATGTACTTGCATCTGGTGGGAATTTAAAGCAAAACCTATTTAGTTTAGAAAAGGTGAAAATGAATAAGATTTTAATACTATGTTGTTAAAAATAGGTCATCTTAGTATCCAGAACAACATTATAAAAATGTTATGTTAAACATTTTGACCTCTAAAATACGCTAGATTTTTTTTCCTGGGCTTATGATACATTTCAGATAAGACATACAGTATAATATTTACATCACGTACATACGAAGCAGTGTACGTGGACCAAGATTGAATGCACGCGACATTGTAGCGACGGCCGGGACGTCATTTGAATACGCAAAGGAAACTGAGGAAGCTTCATAGACAAGCGTAATTTTAAGCACAAATTAAAATGTTGCGTCTCATTTTTGCTTGTGTCATTAGATGTTTCTCAGAAGTTTAAAGAAGATGTTTTAATAAGCCTTATAATTCTAGTCAAGAAATTTGGATATTTTTAAGAATACATGAAAATGGAATAGCAATTTGATGCGGTGCTGAAGAAAGGTCTTGGGTTTTGGGTTGGGTCATGCAATATATTGTTACGTTTTTAATATATACATAACTAGCTTTAACCCGCGGCTTCGCTCGCGTCACAAAAGGATAAAAAGTAGCCTATGTAACATATACCAATACACACAGCGCCATCTATACCAATACTTTTGTTTACCTCGGAAATACAAAATTTTTCCGGGATAAAAAGTACCCTATTATTTGATCCGAACTTCTAACTTTACGTCTACAAAAATTCAAAGCAATTGGTTTAGTAGTTACGGCGTGAAAGCGGAACAAACAAACAAACTCAGTTTCCAATTTATAATATTAGTAAGGATAAATCAGCAGAAGTGTAAATTCTGTACATTAAAAATATTAAAAAAAATACCCGACCACAAAAATGTGATTATAAAAATATTTGTCTGTCTGTCTGTATGTTCATGCATCACGCAAAAACTACTACGATAAAACTTAGTTTGATTATTTATACTTTGATATTCTGAGCATTTGGATTTGATGTTGGCACACTTGGTCCTTTTTATCTCGAAAAAGTATAATATACACAAACTTAACTGTGCGGCTCGATTCCTAGACAAAGCTTCTATACATAACGCAAATATAAGTTTGTCGTATGTCCACTTTGGACTTTACGCAGTAACTGTAAGGCTGGTGCTCGAAACTAGCTCAAACTGCTATTAAAATGGGAAAAAATCTTGAGGTTGAGTGCTCATGTATATTTTTCTTACTCAGTCACATAAAAACGGCTGAAGGAACCAGGAAGAAATTTGGAATAGAGGTAGATTATGGCCTGAAGTAATAAATACATAGGCTACATTTTACCCCCTGAAACGCGGGCAATGCTGCTAACAGAAGCTGGTATCTAATATTATCTTAGTTTTGGCTAGTGCATTAAAATCGGGGCGTCCTATAGAATACTTGTTCTTTCATCAAGCGACCGGTTGCCTCCTATGTAAATAAAGTAAATATACCAACCAGACTCACAACACGTTGTTCTTTAAAATACCTTTCTTGATAAGTGGAATTCTCCATTTTTGCCAATTCCCCATTTGTACTATGTAAAACCTGATGTTCATTTATTTTTCACCCTTTTAGCAGCGGCCAAAAATGCGCTTGGTAATTTTGGCCCATTTTATGTCTATGTTAAAAATAAGAAAATAGCAATGCTTTTTGCATTGCGTTTAGATACGAGGTTCAAAATAACACTCCCTTTATATTTCTTTTCCACACAAAAGAAATGTCTTGAACAATGTAGATGAACTAAAATAATAATTTATAATTATTATTATATTATATTAAACTGATTATAAGTTTGAAATCACCAACTCGCATTGTGATTAATACTCAAACCTTTTCCGTGCAAGAAGAGGTTTTTGATCAGCAGTGGCCACTTATGGGCCGTTGATGATAATGATGATGATTAGATATTAATTATCGTCATCTTAACTTGAAAAAATATTTTTGTCTACTAATGTTTACTTCTAAATTTTCGTACGTGGGACTACTAACATAAATATAATATAAAAAAGGGTATTCTATACACCTACATACATACATATTATTATACAGATAGGTATGAGTGTAGGTATAATATTTGTGTAGGTTGACGAACCAATACAAAATAGCTCTCTATCTAAAAATAAGTTTACTTAAATTCTATATTTAGCGAAATATTGAAAGGCTCACATAACCAATATTACCTTGGGACATTGGTCACCTCTCGCTATCATCATATTATTCGCTTATTATGTAACTATATACAGAGAGATTTTTTCATCAATAAAGCTTAGACAGTACAACACATTTAAAAAGTAAACAGGGTTTTGAGTGAGTTTGGGAATTGAAGTATTTTATGAGAATAGTGTCAGTTATGCTGTAAGAATTAGGTAGTAGTTCGATGAACTTTGGAAAATCATGGTTTATTATGTGAAAACATAGAAAATTATTATTTTTAAATTCTTTGTATGCAATCGGCATACAAATAATAATAAAACGGTATACAAAAAAAATAATAAAGGAAAAACAAAGAAAAAAAAAATAATTTTTCCCCTCCCCTTCCCTAATCTCTCCAATCCCTGAATCCCTAACGATCCTCAAACTCCTAATCGCCAAAAGGCCGGTAACGCACTTGTAATGCCTTTGGTGTTCCAGGTGTCCATGGGCGACGTCGTTTGCTTACCATTGGGTGATCCGTCTGCTCGTTTACCGGCTATTTACCGAATATTTTATTATACAAGCTTTGTAGGAAAATTATTTTCTAGCTAACTTCTAATCTGTTTTTTTTCTACTAAATAATAAATTTAGTAATACATACAATCCAAAGTCTAACAGACCAACAAAAAGTTAAAGTCAACAGGTATGAACCAAAATTGAGGATTCTTATCTAAAATGAATTTTCATCGTCAGCAGTTTTCTAAGAAATGGGTTAATATCTACAGATATCTTTTAAAGTTATCTCTAAGAGCCATCTGAGACCTGTCATAAAATCCAGGAATCAAACAAAGCATTTCTAGATACTTCTGATTGCATTTTCATCTTTATACTAGATTTTCTTTTCTTACAATTGTCATAAATCGCTAGAATATTACCTTTAAATGGTATTTCTGTTAAATTCAATGAAATTTTAAATCGAACAGTAGTTATTGTGAAATTACGGAATACTGCTCTATAGCTCTCAATGTAGCTTTTGTATAAATACTATTTGTGCAATATATTATGTTTCATTATCTTACTGAACAAAAAAGAAAATAAAAATAGTTAGTAAGTACTCAAGCCAGATGTATGTACACAATATTATGTGCTGAGGTCCACAATCATATCTCTGGATATATATTCAGCTGACTAAAGTCATAGTGGCTCGGAGGTTTAAGACATCCGATTCTCATGCATGAGAGTGCGGATTCGAAATCTACCAAAAGTACCAATGTGACTTTTTCGGAGTTGTATATACTTTCTAAGATTGAAATTGCCAACCCGCATTGGGCAAGCGTGGTGATTAATGGTAAAACCTACTTTGTGCGAGAAGAGGCCTTTGTTCAACTGTGGCCACTTATAGGCTGTTGATATAGATCTGTTGACTTATAGGATGATGATGTTCAGCAGTGAAAGTTTTGTGGCTGATATGATGGTGATGATGATGAGCTCCGTAATTATTTGCAATCCTTTTCAAACTAGCTTTTATAATATATCCAACACTTTCATTGATAAGTGTACTCAACTCTTAAGTTTGCTTCATACTTGGTCAGGAATTTCATAATGATTTTTTTTTGTATTTTCGTATAGTGGGTCACCGGAAAATAATTTCAATAATATCTTGTAACAAATTATTCCGCTTCAAATATTTACGAAATATCCTTGACCGATATCTTTTTTGCATTTTTGTATCCCTTTGTAAATTTTATTAAAATGCCTTCAAGCATAAAAATTCATGATTCGAGCGAATGATGAAGAAAAAGAATACATTTTTTTAATTCTTTCACCCCTTTCTTGTCGCATTATTCGTATTATTTCAACATAACAAACGAGAATTCTGGAGTGTTTTGTAGCAAAAAAAAAAACATTCAAATGATATTTTTGTTTGTTCACATTATTAAATTTTCAACTGCCTCGTTAACGGTGCAAAATTTGAATTCTGCAAGTAAAGTTTGGTTGTTTTTTTTTTTGAGGATCATGATCTTCTTTTATTTTGAAACAGATTATTTTCTCGGTTCATTTGAATATTTTGGAATTTGGGTTCACGTAGACTATTTAGTATATTATTTTATAGTATTAAGTACGTAATAGTAGACAAATAGGACCATATTATTTTGAAGACAAGCAAGTTTTAAATCATACTTACCTTTTGAACGCCAATGTCGGCTATAGCCGACATGAGCAAGCGTGCCCTGTGCGCCAACGACGGCTATACTCGACAAAAAACAGGTCGCAGAAAATACAAAATAAACCTATTAAATCATTACTTTTATGTATTTTATTGATACACCTTTAATTAAGATTTTCGGGCTTGGCGTACAAGGCATAGGAAT